TGCATGCGCAGCTCTCACAATCTTTAATGTTAGGAGGTACAACAAAGAAAGGGCGATATTTTTTAAAAGTGCTAAAGCTCACTCTTCCTACTTCAGCAATATACTTTTTGTGTAAATTTTTAAGTCTAGTAGGTATCTTTTTTGGTATTTCACTTTATGCTGTGTTCTGTACTCTTTCTTGCCCGCCGTTATTCGGCTGACGTCGTCTCTTTTATAAAATGATGCAATAAGTTCCTGTAACTGAAATCTCTTTTTCTGATATTCCCTGCGTTTTTTGTAACTGCATGTTTTTAAACTTAAAGAAGCCCTCATCTTTGTTGTCTGTTTATATTTTTCGACAACGTCACTATTCACTATTCTCTTTAAAATATTCTTTTCAGTGTTGCTTGAATTTTTATATTCGCATTTAAAGGACTCTTTCAATAAATCATGTTCTATTAGTTTTTTCTTTATCTCTTCCTTCTTTGGTGTTTCTACATTTGGAATTATCGTATTTATATATTCACTGACTCTTTTAATTGGTGTCAATGCAGCAGTTTGATTAATTAAATTTGGTACATATACCTTGTCTGGTTCTGAAATCTTAATATTATCTACATTCTTTTTTATATCTTTGGATTTTTTTGCGTCTACAGTATTATTATCTTTATGTTTCATTATTAAAGTTTCATGCATTTTCTTCATACTATCAATATTCTTCTGTTGTTTTTGAACTTTCTTTTGTAGATTTAGAAATCTATTAACTATAGTTTTTATTTTTCGTCGTAATTGAATATTTTCTTTTTTAAATTTATATTCAATTCGGCGTTGCAAATTATGTATAATTTTTAAATCTGTGAAATTTTTTGTATTTTCTTTCGAACTTTGCGTCACCATTAGCGATGTTGATGGCATACTTCCTTTTTCTTTTTTGCGGATCTCTCTCCATTTTTGTCTCAATTGTTCTTTTTGCTCTTCACTATAATTTGCAGTTTTAGCTCTATACTGACGGAGTGTTCTTTCACAATTCCTTTTCTTTTGTTCCTTAAATTTTTCTGAATTTGATATCTTTAACTTTTCGCGATATCGTCTTTGTCTTTCTGCAGCACTCATCGGCATTATAATCACATATTAAAGATGTTAAGAATCTTATTTCATACGATTAACGTTTAATTCATTTAATTTAAGAAAAAAAAATACCTCGTGATATAGATTCCTAAATTTTATATCAAAAAAAGACACCGTATCTTTAGACCAAACTTAGGAATCCTTACTATTAAATGCATATATTTTTACGAACTTAAGTTACTTAATATAGTTTTTTAATTTGGAACAGGTAGCTTATTAACTACATTGCAGATTTTCACTGTCAGAGAAGTTATAATGTTATAGTTTTCCTTGAAATCGATAAGGACATTTTGATATTTTTTTTTTTGCTTAAGACAAAAATGGTAATTTTGTCGGCCTTACCCATATACGTGTTGCTCGCGGAAATGAAAGGGTTCTACCACTTCTCAAGGCAATATTTAGTATATTATAATTAAAAGTAATTAATCATGTTTCGTGTAAAGTTCTTGCTTGGTAACGATTATTTAATAAAATTTATACAATCAAGCGTTACTTCACGGAAATTCATTATATTTATGTAAACAAAATCTTCATCTTTGAACATAGCCTATCATTTTCTACATACACAATGCAATCCCATGGACACGTGAAACTTAAAGGGTCACAGATTATTAAAGGTTAAAAGATGAAATTTCTCACAGCTTGCCCTTTATTGATTAAACTGGTACACAGTAGCAGGTACACTGCTGCTTAGTGGCATAAAAATAGTTAAGATGTTGGTATTTATCCATACGGACTCCTAAACCAAAAGCAATCCTACTACCTACTTGTTTAAACCTTAGTGATAGCATTTATTTGTTTTCGCACCAGATGTAGCGACGACCTGATGAAACACGCAGGCGGTCGATAAATGCAAGTGGGTCAAGACCGTGCTTTGTGGCATTCCTTGGAGGAGGGCCTATGTTCAACATTAGACTTGGGATGGACTATAGTTGTAATAGTTAAAGCGATATTGCGAAGCCGCAACCACGAATATTCGTCGCACACCTAAATAGCCGGGTACCCACCTAGCGCACAGGCACGCGCGGCAGCTTCGGTTTGCGGCTCGCGAGCGAAAGCTCGCGAGGCAGCCTCAATAGTATTGTCCGGAACTCAGACGCATGCCTCGCGAGGCAGACCAAGTCATAACTCATCATAAGTACTCGAGCATCCAAAATGGACAGTTGCGTAATTGCAGCTACAGTTACTTTCCTAGTTGCTTATTATTTAAAAAAACGAAAACAGTCTTTTGGATCTCACAGCATCTTGTACGTACCGTACAGTTGAATTAAACGAATCGAATCATACTGATTGCTCATGATATATTATTAAAATGACTTTTCAGTAAAACTAAAACAAACATTTATATCCTCGCGAGACAAAATACCACCGTACACACCAAACGATCAGCGATCATTGAGGCACCTTTGAGCGCGTCAAGCGCTCGGCCGAGCCAACGTGCGCCCGAGGCACGTCCACATCAGCCGAGACATTGGCTCGCGAGGCTGCCGCGCGAGACTGTGCGCTACGCGGCTATTTAGATGTCGCATATAATTCCAACCTACATATTATATTATATAAGTTTAATAAATTTATAAAATCAGCCCATATATAAATCTTTCCCAAGTCCACTGCTAAGCATAGCCCTCCCTCACAGATCGCAATATATGTTTGTAATAGTTGCCACGATTGGCAAGTGGGTTGGCAACCGCAGTTTATTATTATTGAATTGTTATCAAGAAGATGCTGCTATCGATCTCTAACGACCCACTGGAGAATATGGGATAATCATACGCCGACAGAGCCAAAAAGTATATTTTACGAAGTACATTTAAAAAAAAAATTAAAAGCTTTTATATAATGGATTTCCGCAAAGTAACGCCTGATTCTATTAATTATATATTTTGTTAATTTTATTAATATTTTGATCACCAATTTATTTTTTTCGATTCTAATAAAATACTTTTGGTGTTCTATATAAATAAGCCCGATTATTGCATGACAGCTAAGATTTACATTGCAGACTTGTGATGAAAAGACTTCTTCGGTTTATAATTTATTGCGGCAATAAATCCGCTGAAACATTACAATCTACAATCTATAACTCTAATCAGGAAATTGAGCAACATGCCGTCTCTTGTATTACGTTGCTTCCTTGTGTCGGCGGAACGTTCCCGGAAGTCTGATAGGCGACCTACTGGTGCGCTGGAATTAGATATTTCTGAATTGAGCAATAGTATTGTGAGCTTCGGGTTCGAGACAATTAAAAACTGCCGATTGAATTACTAAAATTGACACTTTAATTACACAACACTAATTACAATCTATAACCACACTAATAATAAAACGCAATCACTTTAGTTCGCAGTTATTTCGCTTCGAAGTATTCTCTTGTATCGCCAATTCAATACTGCCTCGGTCGTGGTCTATACCGACCTTATATAGGGCCTCAGATAGTTTCCAGAATCTTCTACTGTAGCGACATCTAGAATGTTCGAGTACATATCGGTCCCGAAATTTCTGGAAGGATCTTGACTCTCCTAGTTCTGCTACTCAACACTAGAGGGCGCTAGCGTAACTAGTGTTGCCATGTACAAGACATTAATAGTGGCGCGCAACACTATTATGGTTGTTTAGATTCCTTTTGCAGTTTATAACACAGTATTGCACGATGTTTTGTTCAAAACCGCGCTAACAACTTGTCTCGACTCAGTTATTAAATAATAATACTTATCAAAAACAGGAAATGGACAACGGCATCTTCCTGATAACAGCTCAAATTAATAAAAAACTGCGGTTGCCTATTCGCCTGCAAATAGTCGTAACTATGGCAAATATCCCGTCTGAAAGGCAATCTATTAGAGGGTCCTTTAATTAGCGGTGGAGTTTTCAAAGGCTGTAATGAAGGAATGAATGAATGAAATTTTTATAATATTTTATGTAATTTTATTTAATTATTTAACTTTATAACTATTCCATTGTAATATTTGTTCTGTATGTAAGTACTACAAGTTCGATATATAAATATTATATTAAAAAGATTATATCTCCGAAACGGCTGGACCGATTTTGACGGGATTTTCACTGGCAGATAGTTAATGTCACAAGGAGTAACTTAGGTTACTTTTATTTTAGAAAAAGAATTAGGGTTCTGCGTAAAAAAATTAAAACCCCAAAACACGCGAGCGAAGTCGCGGGGAACAACTAGTTATATTATAAAATAACTAGCTTTTCCCCGCGACTTCGCCCGCGTGTAATTTATTACGATTGGATTTCATGTGTTTTAATTTTTTTGCGCATTGCTTTAATTCTTTTTTAGAAACAAAAATAGCCTATGTTACTTCTTATAACATCAGCTATCTGCCAGTGAAAGTCCCGTCAAAATCGGTCCAGCCATTTCGGAGATTAGCCGAAACAAACAGACAGCCATACAAACCAAGACAAAAATTAAAAAGAAATTGTTTTTGTTATAAGTACCGTATGTATTAAAAGCTGTTATTTTGACATTACAAACATACATTATTTATTTGTATAGATTTACATTACATTATATATTTCTACGGAATTGTGGAAGCGTAAATTTCAGATGGACAAACTCCAGGAAAAGAAACATTTATTTGTTATACACCTACAAATAATATCAAAACAGCAAAGTGTTAAGCGTTTGTTAAATTAAATAATTTTAATGAAATTTACTCTTTTAAAAGAATTGAAACGTTGCTAATATAAGACAGGACAAAAAACGCTTCGCGGACGGCGGGTTGCGTCCCTTCTTTCACGGTCTTTCGTCCCGATCCCGAAGCGATGGTAGCGCGCCGCCCGTCGCTTCCAACCCGAACCGATACACAACATGCAACTATAGTAAAACACCTATTAGGATTGTTAGCAGTATAGCTAGCTATAGCAATACAATAGCAGTACGCCGCGCGCCGCCGCACAGGGCGCTTGTGTCACGTTACATGTGCGTTAAGAACAATTGTCTCGCAACTTAACCATATAAGTGCATACCGACTCATAACCCGTATATTTTCGGAGGAGTGCCACTATTTATACCGTGTAACGGAGCGATAGTGCGCATCCTGGCTCACGCTTCTTGCACGCGGGCTTGGGACATCTGTGAAGGGAAAAATAAATATAGAGAACCGGTGAGTTTAGTCGTTGGATGCGTAATCTTCTTATCATTTTAAAATGTGATACATTGTACACGCAGGATGCAGGATGCTGTGAACTCGTACCGCTTGTAGAACAATAAACGGTTCTTTTTCTGTTTCTTTTATAAGTTGTCCACCAAACAAAGTCAATACGGTCAAATGCCGCTCTAAAATGTTTGGTGTCTTATTATAATTTACTCCCCTGCAACATTTCATAAATACGAAATTTTTTGCAGTACCTCGTATTTCTCATCAAATGATACAATGTGTAATAAATGGAAGTTAATAATTCAAACTTTCAGCAAAAGCTTTAGAATGTGATTCAAAATTTGACAGAACGTATGAAGATATTAAAGATTTTGCCAACATTACGAAGATATCTATTAGGAAGTTAAATTATGTATGTAATGGTTATTCTGTAACTCCTGTATATAAAATTATTAAATGTCATAACAAATTGTTTTACAATATGTTAGTAACGGCAATTATTATCCTTATAGTGATTGTAATAAAGCGTGTTATTTTAAATCAAGCGTTGTGCTAATTTTATGCCAAACTATAGTAGTGTACGAAGAGGCATGCGTCAGAATCGGAAAAAAAAACTCGTCTAATGTACATTGAAATTTACGTATTGTACAAGTACTATTGCTCTTTTAGTAAACATAAAAATATACTATCTTGTAAACATAGAAAAATGCTAATAAGAAAATAATGCAAGATGAGTTGTTGGGAAATGTTTTAACCCTCAAATGCTTTAGTTTGATATTTCGTTACCCTGTTGGCATTTTAGATTGATGGCATAACGTAATTTATCTTTGTGAGACATCTAAAAGACCATCCATAATAGTTGACCCGACACGTTTGCTTTACAAAGCTTGCAAAATACTAGTATGAATCTAACTACAAGTAATTTTGTACTATTGAAAGCTATTTGAAAGTTTGGAGAAAACTACATAGGTAATCTGTTTTGAGATGCATATTATATAGTAGAAACGCATTTTTCTTTCCAGATGCACGATAAAAATTCGGAACTATCTGCAATTATTATTCAAGAAATTACATCAATTTAAATAAATTATGAATTGTCACCTATAACAAGTTACGTTTCGAAATTTATATCATATTTATAAAATTTTAGTTGAATATCAAGTAACGTTTTAGAAATACATGGTAAATAACTGATAACACTTTTGCTGGTATTACCATCCATTTTTTACTATAATTATAGAAGCTATAACCTTTTTATAAAAATTAAAATCGGAGTCGGTAAATTACCTACTATTGAAAATAAACGTAAATAGGTATATAAATAAGACAACAGAACTGTGTAAAATTTGAATAGGTTACTTATAAATAATTTACTTAAGAATATACCTACCTGTGTAAAATTTTTACTACACACATCTGTTATATTTTGTAATTCATTTATATGATAATATATTATTATTTTTAAACAAAACTAACACCAACCCTTCTACATGTAGGTACGTTATTAACGTATGGAGTGGAGCCGTCAAATTGCATCCCCCCTGTCGCTGCTTTAGATCAATATAACGGTGACTACACACAAACACTGAACCAGACAGATTATACAGAGTTAAAATCTGACGGTTCTGAACAAATTTTATTTTTTAACATTTTTGGCATTTGGTCTCGGGAATAGTTTTGTCGCTGCCTATTGCTTTCACAATAAAAAAATCATACCGTTAATCTACAGTATTATTGAAGTTGATGTTGGATTTCTTTCGAAAATATTATCGATAATATATGCTTCGTAGCCCCTGGGATCTATTCAAACTCTATAAATTTATTGTTATTATATACTGGTGTGCTACACTCCTCTTCACCTTAGAGCCTTTTAGGCATCTCCTTTCGTATATTATCCTAATCCTATGGAACTGCTGATGGAATCACATTATTCAATTTATTGCCACTCAGTTATAATGTATGACCTTAATATGTTTAATTCGTCATTATCATTAGATCAAGATCCAAACCTAAAAATATCTGTTCTTCAAGCTGATTCTTCACTAATCTTACCCGTATTCACTACGAAGATATTCCTTATCTTTACGCAAATTCTAAACATATAAAAGATTTTATAGCTTTCAGAATTCTAGTTTAATTTTAATTCAATTTAAATCACAAAGATGATTGTATTGTAACATCCATGGTTATGGAGGGAGAACTCATCCACTTGTCACTCAACCTGGTCGATTCGTTTCATTTGGTATTTCCATATTATTATATCATATGCTCTGAAATCCGCAAAAGTAACCTTGTCCGCGGAGAAACAATTAAATTTTAAGATCTGCAATGCGAATTGTTCGGACTTACAACAATATTGGTGTCAAATGGCAGATGGTCAACTATCTTATTTCTTCATTTAATTGATCAATTGCGTTAAATCTAAAATTAAAACGCATTACCATAGAGTATGTTATTTCTCTTTCATTACTATTTAGTACTCCTTTCTAATTTCCCCTTATTATGTTTCCTTTCATTCCCATGTAAAGAAATGAAATTGAATTTAGAATTTCAATCATTTACGGCTACGTAACTAAAATAAAAGTGACTAACAAATTGCAAATGACTTAGGTAAATGTTATTTGAAAATAACAAGTTCAAATATCTGATTTACCTTCAAATATACCACCATTTAGTAGAGCATTTGTAGCACTTCCGTACTAATCTATGATTGATTACAAAATCAACAACTACATAGAAATCTTTTCATATTATCAAATACAAAATTGCAAGTTAAATGAAGTATCGTATAATTAAGTAAAGTTTGTGTTTATAAACGACTGGCGAGAACTACTTTCTTATGGGGCTACGTTATATATTGAGCTTTTATGTGTGCTATGTATGTATTCTCAATGACCGTAACAACAATTATACGGTTATATCCACAACTTTAATGGCCTACAATTATGATTACCTAACAGTTATGGGTTACACCAAAATTAATAAAACCTTCGAACCTTTACAATTCCAATACTTTTCATAAGTTAAACACGCCGCTCTCACTTTGACAATTATTCGAAGGAACTAAGGACCTCTGCGTACATTAATATTACTTTCATAGTTACGACGCAATGACATCAGGTTTAGTATTCAAGTCGTTTCTAGTCCATATCTCGGCATCTTGACTTCTCTTAAAAGGTAAATAAGGAACCGTTACAGGATCATTCCGTTATCCCGCTTGACGGATAGCAATGTGTTACTGTGCCTGGCAAAAAAAGGAACGTCTGTAACTCTGGAGGATAAATCTGTTATCTACGAGTTTATAGATGTATTTAATGTGAGGTATCATCATTTCCCCTTTTCATATGTTTTTGTTAAATATGAAAGTTGTAAAACTAACTTATAATAAATGTAGTATCATAGCAAGTAAAGTTCAAAAAGAAGAAAAGTAAAATACGTCAAATTATTATATTAAACTAGCTGTTACTTACCGCGTTGCTGCCGCAGAAGATATAATTGTGAAAATGTCGTTTGAAATTTGGAAGTGTTTTATTGTTTCACTATGAACGATATACATTCATTGAAGCTGAATGATACATAACTATTAAATAAATTTGTTAATACGATACGTGCCGGTGCTAGCAATAAATTGACAAAATTTTACCGCAATCTAAATCTAATTAACGGTATGGCAGCGCATAAAATATGAACAAACCAACAAACATACCTTAATTTTTATCTATAAAGATAAAATAAAATTTTCTTTCAAGACTCGATAGGAAAAAATTATGTGAAGCCATCTTCTTTTCTACCGACTTTAAAAAAGAGACGGTACTAAATTCGACTGCATTTTTTTGTTTTTTTTTTATGTGTTACTTCATAACTTTTTACTGGGTGAACCGATTTATATGATTTTTTTTTATTTGAAAGCTGATACTTCTCGTGTGGCCCCATATGAATTTGATCAAGTTCAGACCAATAGTTATTGAGTTATTCTTAATAACTTATATTGCAGTCGGCTGTACAAAATTTTAATTTTATGTTATTCTGAGTGAACCGATTTCGATGATTCTTTTTTATTTGAAAGCTGGTGCTTCTCATGTGGTCCCATATAAATTTGATCAAGGTCTGACCAATAGCTTTTGAATTATTCTTACTAATTTATATTGAAGTCGGTTGTACAAAATTTATAATTTTAAATTATTCAGTAGCTCATCACTGGGCATGGGCCTATCACATTTAAAGAAGGGTTATCAATGATTGCTACGATTAGGAATAGCTAATTTTTTTTAAAATTTCATACTGAGAATTTATAATTCACCATTAATGTAACTGTATTACACCATTAGTATACAATTCTTACGTAGTCGAAAGGTTTTTGATATTAACAGCGTACATTAAGTCGCAATACTATGAATAATTTATAAAATATTACTACAAGAGCTAGTTAATTAGCGTAAACTAGTTTTACCACTTGTCTGTACTAGTCCATATTTTAAGTAGCTGGGCTTGCTAGTGTGTACCTACCCTAAACATTAAAACACCTTGGGGTAACCTATATTTTGTTCAGTTTAACATTAGGTTTTATGTAAACAAGTCATAACAAGTGATTTTTAAACACGCTTTTATTAGCTTGGTATGTATCTATGTATATATGTAACGAAATTTTTGAATGTGCTTCGCATTCCCTTCAAAAAGTTTGATTGATTTCAAACATCGCACACTTATCATGGACCGTTGACAGTGCAATAATTTAAAAATTTTGTCCCATTATCTCGTGAGGTTCTTCAGGATTTGCGAATTTATTCATTAAACAACTACGATTTCTGCCAGTTCAATCAACTTTGAGCCGCGTAAAAGATCTTCGTTCCAAAAAACACGCTTTTGTAGTTAGCCGCACTAAAAATAAAAAATAAATAATAGTTTAAAAAAATTAAAAACACACGCTTTTGCAGATAACCGAACTAAAAAGTAGTATGCGGTACTTATAACAAAAACATAATTTTTAAAATTTTTGTCTGTCTGTC